TTTCTTATTTTATTTCTCTCTCTCTCTCTTTTTTTTTTTTTTTTTTTTTTTTTTAATTTGGCAGTACAGTCCTGGCAGTACACCACTTACAGGGATGGAGGCGGGCTTGTTGACCACGACGACGTCCTCGTCCATGTGTATCACCGTGATCGGCTCCGAGGTGACAGGCACCTCGTGTCTGCAACACACCAATCGCAACCAGCTTAACGTGGCTTTGTTCCTCTTGCACGTACTCACATTCATTCGCTCATTCATTCATTCGTTCGTCCGTTTTCTCTTTCTATTTCTTCTTACACGCACGCATACGGACAGAATGGAGCTTCGTTTATCCGCATTGGATTTGCAACGATCGAGGGTGTGGATTAGATGGAGTTTCGGGCAGAATCGTCGTTTCAACGTCGGTGGTAGGAAGTTGGAAGAATTTCGATCTTCAAGAATCTTGAAGAATTTTGAAAGAAGTTTTTCGAAAGCACGTCGGTTGCTCTCTTAGTTGATCAATTACTTTGAATTAATTTCGATTAGAAAGGAATACTGTAACATATCGTATATATTTTGTAATGTACACGAAGCTGAAGTTTTTTTAAGATCACGTTTACGACATGGAGAATTTTTAAAAATTTCTAGAGGAAGATCCTCCTATATTTTTAGAGGGAGATCCCCTAAACAGAATACTGTATAAAGTTTGGTGTAGAAAACTTTATGGGTATGATATACTTTGTACGTAGGATACGGCGAGATACAAATTTTATAGATACGATATCCAGGCACAGCGCGAAAGATTTCCTCTACTTTTCGAGGGAAATTCCAAATTGCCGCAAGATATTTCTTTGGTCGTGTATATATATTCGGATAAACGAAGCTCGTACATGTAGAAATGGACGATAGAGAAGTGCACGATAACGATTTACGGGGAGGGAGTCAGATTTCGAAACGTGTGGGTGGAGGATGTTCGAACATGTCTGTTCTTTCCAGTCCATTAAGCGTTGAACGTGCATGATTCTCTTTCGAACTGTTAACCTGTAACACGTGCTCATGCGGCCTCGAGGATTCCCGAGTGACTTACATCTAAAATCCTACGCTTAAAAGTATTATTCAAAAAGGAAAAAGAAAAAAGAGAGAGAAAAAAAAAAGAAAAGAGGAAAAACGATGAAAAATGTTCCCCTCGCGAAATAGGTATCATAGTTTCAGATGTTCGATCTATATCACTCAAAGAGACACGACAGAAAATGCCCTTTGTTAAATATACTTTACCTTCCACGGTATCCACCATTTTTCTTCGCTCCAACATACTTTTTACAAATTTGGGATATTCAGAAGTAGACGGCCAACGAGTCACTTCTTAACCTCCAATCGTTTCTCAATGACAACCCGTTTTGTCCTTTTACTTTTTATAGTTTTTATTTGTTTCATTTTAAATTTTCGAAATTGATGCTCAATTGACATGGTCAATGGGTGATCGCAACGGTTTAATTAATTAAAGATATTAATTAACGGTAAACAATCTTTAAATCGTTCGTGTTTATTTGAGTTTAAGAAGTCTACAACCCGTGAAATACACTGCGAACTCTACACCATCCAATAATTTCTGCCTTTCATCCTCTATTGCTCAAATATGTCTTTCATCCTTCCAAGAATCATCGAGCCTAATCTATCTCCGTTTACAACGTCTTCGACACCTAGAATTTCAGAATTCTTGAAAAACCAAGAATTTTTCCCTTGTTCAATACTCCACGATTCTCTCAAACGTTATTCGAGTAATTCGCTCTCCAACGTGCCCAAAGATCAAACTCCCTGTTATTCGTCATTCGGACAAGTCGCTCGAGAGGCGGAAGCGCGTGTCGCTGAGACACACTTTGCGCTCGCTCGTCGGCGAGCTAAACAGGTTAATGGCGACGCGCGGGTGGAAAAGCGGCCAAAGTGGAAAAGGGACAAAGAGGACGTGGACGACGCCTCGAAGAAACGAGGAGATCTCGCGACGACAGGTGGTGGCTGGTTCTTCCCTGGCGCGGCGTACGCTCGCGGCACACGCTGCTCCGCAGCTTCAATTACACGTTCCATCTGCCTAATGCATTCCGTGAAATCTGCAGCAGCAGCCGCGCTGGTATTCTTTCGCTCTGGCGGACAATGCCGAACCGACGGATTCTCCGCGGAGAACACCGCGTCGCGAACCTCCCCTCCTCTTCGTCTTCTTCTTTTGCCTCTCTTCGTCCACTATTTTTTTCAATGCTTTCCACCACCTCTTCATCCCTTTTCTCTTTCACCCATCGCGGTTTTGCTTTTCTTTCTCCTACGCGCGCGAGCGAGCTCTCAAAAACCCGCCCCCTCTTTGTTTCCCTTTTGTATATTCGCGTCTTGATTCCACTTTCGTTTCTTCCCTCTTCCCGACCGTTTCCGCTCTCTGCGGAGCCAAGGCTCTTTGAATAATTCAATTCGAGTCTGGGTAATTTCTAAAGGTGGTAACTCTGGCCGACTCGAGTGCAAGATGATTCGAAGCGACGCGGTGGCTCGGGATTCCTTTTCTCTTTTTGTTTCTTGTTTTTTGCCTCTCAATGAGTGGTCATTTTAAGGGAGTATTAAGTTAGGTTTAGATTAGGTTTTAATTAGATCGATATTTTAAGCAGAATTTTAAGAATAGAACGAAAGGACGAAGTTTGTCTGTTGACGATCCAATAATTATCTCGTTCGAGATAAGACGTCGTCGTGATTGAAGAAGACAAAGAAGAAGTAGAACGTACTTTCTTCCGAAGTTTCGGATCCCTCGGTGATAAAGCAAACATCGGTGTCGAACAATTAAAAGTTCGACAGCGTGTTCGATCGATTCGTCGCTTCTCCTTTTGTTTAGAATGTCGTCGTACAAAAAGACGATTTCTTCGAAATTGAAACCTCCCGGGTTTGATGTCCGGATTTGATACACGTATTTCGAAATTTCATTTTCGCAGACACTTCCCTATGCTTTTCTAATGTTCTAGTAGTCTGTCTGTATCTCTTTTAAATAAAACAAGACACTTTGGATATTTGCTGCAAATTCATATTTTCACAGACACTGGTAGAGGAGTGAAATTGAAATGAAATGAAAGTATTTTATTCGTATTTTATATATCTTTAAATGTAAATTACACATTTTTTTCTACTTCATACATGATCTTGTATATCTATAATTGATTATATAAAAATCTGTAATCTAATGAAAAAAAAAAAAATAGTTATACCCTTTGTGATGAGTACATTGTAAATCGATAAAGTCAAAATCGATCTGTCAACTTTACTTCTTGCAAGACGTTTCTCGACGTTGTTTTTAATCGTTTTTAATCGTGGCGTGCAATTCGCACAGAGTCTTCCTTTTTTTTTCTTCAAAACGTCAACACCAATTAACAATTAATCCGCGTCGAGTTCGCAATTAATTCGACGATTAACGCGTATCTCGCGACTTTTCAACGGCGGGCCAGGCCTCGATTCGCTTAAACAGGCGAAAGTAACTTTTCCAACCTGGAATCCCCGTTACCCAGCCTGCTGGAAACCGCAGCTCAAAATTTCCCGCGTTTAAATTACGAAACAGGGAGGAGCAGCAGTTGAGTACAGAATATAGTCTCTGCTCGTGAAAGCTTCCTACCCCGAGGAAACGCGTGAACCGTAAGTTTATTGTCGTTGGTGGAGTGACAGAACGAATCAAAAAGTTTGACTTTGGCACTGTTCTACGAAATTTATTTCGAGTGTTATTTACGCGCACGAAATATATAGTAACACTGAGAACAGAGGATTGTACGATGTGCTGGATTGTACTTCTTTTTCAAATTCACAAGTCTTTTTAAGTTTATCAGAAACTTTAAAGTTTCGTTTATCTTGTAATGTATTTTTGTGATTAATTATAATAAATAACCATAACAAGTTCGATAAAATGAAAAAAAGTTTCAGCCTTCAAATCCATTTCAGATTCAGTTACGAAGAAAATTTTCCAATTTTTTTTTTTACATACTATTCATGGTATTTTCGAGAAAAGTGTTTTTACGTTGCCCTCTGTTACATACTGTAAAAATATTACAAAATAAGATGAACGATGCATTTTGAACCTGTGAATGCAAAGTGAACCTGGGTTTATCGAAGCAAAATTACAACAGCTTCAATGTGTAGTATCTGAATATTAATGAAATACACATAAATACCATAGGTCGTCTTTATCAAACTTTCATACACCATACGTTTCGTCAAATCTTGCATCCTCCAAATGGTCGAATTGCCAAAATTTGCCGTCGAAATTTCATCGGAATCAGCGAAGGAATCAGGCCTTACGCGCCGAAGCACGTGAATTAGAAAAGTCGAGCAATTTCACGAGAGTAGATTTCCATGTGAATCCCACTTCTTCCATCAACAAACGGCCCGTCTATTTCAAAGCTCTGTTGTTTCTTCTTTCAATAAATCCCGGCGAACTTTTGACGCTTCGGTCGTCGTCTCGCGCATTTGGCCAGATAGACTTTTGGCAGCCGACCGATCTAGGAAGGCAGAGATCGACATATTTATTATCCTTCGTCGCTTAATTTAGCGTCCCGCTGGACACGCGTGACGGAAATTGACGGCCGTTAAACAAACGTTATAGTACAATGTCCGTATCGAAACGGAATCTTTGTGCGGCGAAGCGCGCGTTACGTAACGCGGCGGATCAAGCCTGCCGGCGTTGTTATAAATAATTTTCGGGATTTCTTGTCCTAGAACTGCAGTGCAGAACCAGGGCGGGTTCCCGCGAGAAAATGGAATACGACGCGTTTTAAAAATATTTTCTCCCGGAGCGAGCACACACGGAGGAAATATTTGTCCTCCATTCTCTTCTGCCGCGGTGCGATGCTCTAACCTGCTGTTCTTCATCTTGCGGAAATTTGTGCAGCATGTAACGCGCACTCTAACGTTTTCTTTCTTGTCTTCCTTTTTTTTTTCTTTTTCTTTTTCTCGCGCGATTAGCGGTCGAGAAACGAAGAATCGTTTCAGAATCGTTGCTAGGTACGTTATACTTTAGACGAGTTACAAGTAAAACTGGAATTAATCATTCCCTGCTACACTCGAGAAGTATTTCAACGTTAGATTAAAGCTTCTACTAGAGACATTAAAGTGAAAACAATAGAAAAATTTTGCGAGCTTCCGTATATAATAATATATATATATATATATATATATTTATATATTTCACGAGAAATCGCACAAATATCCAGAAACATACATCGTTTTACATCTACAAAGTTTCTGAGAAATATTTA